ACTTTATATCCTTAGCTAGAAAAGTGTATCTTTGTAAAACGTATTAAAAAAATATTCCTATTAAAATTTATATCTTCGATCATAACAATATCACAAGCTAAAACAACTTTCAAACTTTGACAATATTTGAAACTTGCACGTAATCAGCAACAATTTTCAAATAAAAAAGAAAAAAATGTTGCTGAAAATAGTTATGAAAATACAAGTGACGATATTGCTTTACCTAACTTAGTAAATATATTTACTATATTAGCAAATTCATAATCATCTGATATTAGTAAAAATGTCATTGAAAATGGTTATGAAAGTACAAGTGATGATATCACTTTATCCAATTTAGTAAATATATCTACTATATCAGCAAGTTCACAATTGTCTGATATTGGTATAAATGTTGCTAAAAATGGTTATAAAAGTACAAATAATGATAGTCATAATGATATTGCTTTATCCAACTCAAGTTCATAATCGTCTGATATTAGTAATACACTGTTAAATTTAGTAATAAATATTACATTCGCCATATTAGTAAGCTTACAACAGTTAGATATAGAAATCAATCTTAGGCAATACAAAATCAACGAACTTTTAGAGAATGTGATCAACTTGCCAGATTCAGTTCTAACAATATTTATTAATATAATCAAAAAATTGCACAAAAGCAATTTCATTAATCGCAATATTTAAAAATGTGGGTGACATTATTAAATATATCAATAAATATGGATAATGAAAAATTTAGTCTTGGTGTATCCTTGTTAAAATTTATGAGATATAATAAGGGACCCAATATAGAAAAGATTTTTTCAAGATATTTATAACAAAAGGCTTATGATTTTATTAAAAACTTATTATCTAAGCAAAAGTCATATTACAAGTAGAAAACCATCAAGTCAAAAAATTAATCGGTTAAACAAAAAAAATAAATCTTTAAATAATAGAATTAGAAAGTATGAATAGGACTCTGAAGAACTCTGATACAACTTAGATCTGAGTTTGTATAATATTAGCTAAATAGGCGTATAAAATAAGCCAAAATTTAAAATTTTACTATATAAAAATGCAACGTTCGATGAATTTCTATGCAAAATTTTCTTTTTTAGTAACCTCTAAGTTATATCAGAGATCTTTAGGGTCCTGTATAAACAAATACAAAAAAAAAGAATTTTTTTAGTCTGTTCTACAACACGTAATACAGGTTGAAATTTTTTAATATAATAAGGTGATTAATAGGCGATATATAAAAAACAAACATTATATAATCAACTAGAAGATTGTTTACTAGCTAATTAAATCATACAAATATTAGCCTTATATCATAGAAAAATAGCCTAATGATAAATTAAATATTAAAAAATAAACTAAAAATAAAGCTGATATAATAATGATCAATATTATCAATA